TTTTGAGTCCTTCCTCTGCCTTTTCCCCTCCCTTCCCTCCCTCCTCCTTTTTTTCCCTTCTCCTTCCTCCTCTGTCATGCTCCTCCTTCTTCTACCTCCTTCTCCTTTTCCTTTACCCTTCTCTCCCACCCTGGTGTTGAAGTGTAAACACAGCTGAAGCAGTATGTTCTTTGTAATCTTTTATTACTATATCTTCTGTGCTAGCCTTGAGCTGAAGAGCTGAGGGACAGCGCCCAGGCCCAGAGTTCAGGCCCCAAAACTGGACCCCCCCCCCAAAAAAAGAAAGAATCCCAAGGATAACACAACAGCCTAATGAAGGTATTGAAAAAAGTCCTGGGTTGATTCCTCTCACCACTCTACTCCTTCATTCTTAGCGTTTTTGACTTTGTCTTCATTCCTATCACCTCCTGCTATAAAAGTCCATCACATTGTTGTTGCTTTTGTTTTTTTTTCTGGGCAGGAATAAAGAGGAAATGGGTGATGGTTCCAGCATCTCTCATTGGCCAAAATTGTCACATGGTCTCTCAAACTCAACAGAGGCTGGGAAATGGAGAGGGTAGCTTTAACTACATCAATAGGAGAAAAGGATGTGGAAGAAGAGAGTCAGAGATGACATTATATTGGCTAAACTAGATGTGCTTGAATCTCTCCTCACTGGGAGAAGTGATTGATGTGGTTTATTTCTCACTATCACCCCTTTCACAATTTTTATCACATATCTTATGTGTTAAAAATAAATGCCCACTCTGTAGGGCACAATAAGATATGAATATTAATCACAACAAGATTGATTCAATCACTAACCCTCCAGTCCATATTCAATATTGACTTATCTACTTATGATTGCCCATGAGAGACAATGTTGATACAAGGAGATACAATGTTGACTAGTATATATTTTTTGTCCTCCAGTATGCATCTTCTCTGTATAGTGTTTTATCAATCAGAAATACTCTCAGCAAATAAAATGAAGAAAACTCGACTGGCTGACTTAAAACCATATATCTAGAATTTACTTTTTAAAAATTGGAAAGGAGCGAGCAGGATAGTACACTCCTGTAATCTCTTCACTTGGAAGGCAGAAGTGGAAGGATCATGAATTTGAGGCTCTCCTGGACTACATAGCTGTAAGGTCCTGTTCAAAAAAACCAAAATAATAGATGTTTGCCTAGCATGCACAAGGCCCCAGGTTTGGTCACTAGCAATGTATGAACATGCACACATGCACATGCATGCACACATATATACACAGTGAACAGCTCTACAATGAAACTAGATTCTGGGATATGTTCTGTAATTTTCCCTCTTGAACCTAAGATGGCAACTACAGCTCATCCATCAAGAATGTGAAGAAAAACAGTCAGGGGGTGAGAGAATTCCTCTCTCTGCTTCCCATTATTATCAGACAATATCATCTTCCCAAAAAGTTTTAGAAGACTCCTTAGCTAGATGGGATTAAAGCAGCCACTACTGGCTTTAAGGGAATCTCAGGAGTGTCCAATGAGCAAGGAAAAGAAGGATTAATATTGGGTAGCTAACCAAGTATACTATCATAAAAGTGTTGCAACTTTGCACATACTTTTAAATTTATGCTCTCATCTTATGACTCAATGAGACTACTATGAAGCATACTAGAAGCCCAAAGCTAGAACAGGAAGCACAAGCAACATCTGCTATGTGGGGACTTCTGGCTGTGAGGAAATGTGAAGCTCCTCAGAAGGTGTAAATTTATCGCAAGGATTTTTAGAGATATTATCATGTATCTTGCTTATCAAGTATGCAGGCAAGACCCCAAAGGTAATTCAGATTTTGTAGTTTGGGAAGATAATCACAGAGTGGAATGAAAAGAGGAAGCAAGATACTTGGACTCCGGACTCAGCTTGGGGTATGAGAATGGAAAAATTCCAAGCCTGTTTTCTCCTCTATAAATTACGTACTTGAACAAGATTAGATGATGTGAATCTCTTTCTAAAAATATAACAGCACCTGTATAATCATCAGGCTAAAAGTCAGGAGCTCAAGGAACATTAAAAAAACATCCGGCTCAAGCTCATTTGAAAAAAAAATGAGGTAACTTAGGCTCAGAAAGGTCACTGTGTAAATGTACTCATTCAAAATTAGAAAACTTGGGTCTCAGAAGCTAGCACATAGTACTTTCACAAATAATTGATCATGTTTTCCTGAGAGAATTTTTAAAAACTGTTTTCTTCTTTTCTTGTTTTTTTTTTCATCTTTGTCAGAATCATTCTGTTGTTATCTATTACAGTTCCATAAAAATGCAAATGATGAGGTTTTGTGAAGTCCACTTTTTAGCTGTCAGTTTTGGGATAAATCACTTAACTTGTTTGTACAATAATAATTGCACCTTTATAAGTTTTTGGATACTTAGAGGATTTTTTTTTTTTTTGATCGGGTCATGGGGCTTGAACTCTGGGCTTGGGCACTGTCCCTCAGCTCTTCAGCTCAAGGTGAATGTTGTACTGCTTGAGCCACAGAGCCACTTCCGGTTTATTGGAGATAAGAGTCTCACGGACTTTTCCTGCCAGGGCTGGCTTTGAACTGTGATCCTCAAATCTCAGCCTCCTGAGTAGCTAGGATTATAGGCAGGAGCCACTGGTGCTCAGCTCTTAGAGGATCTATTAATCAACTTTTGTGTAGTTGACTAACCCAGGAAGGACTCGATGTGGTAATCATGATTGCCTTGATGTCTCCCTAGCTGTCTATCTCTCGTTTATAAAGCTTGTTTAAGCTTGAGAAAATGTCCTGGACCAATTTCCCCCGTGGCTTATGTGGGAGTAGATTTGAATCTCACTATCATTAGTTTGTCTTTATAGGATCCTATCTCCTACCTATGGAAACTGTGTAATAACTAAGGGTGTGGCACCTAACTGGAAGGGAGACCAATCATTATGCTGTTACCCAGTTCAGCAAACTGGTGATTTGAACCTGAAACAACTGGAATTTGAAAAGATAGTCCTTAAATCACAGATTCTGAAGCTCGGATCCATGGGTGGGCTTGAGGCATAGAACCATGAGCCATGTCATTGAAATGTCAGGCCTTCTCAAACTTGGCATTATTGACACTGGGCCTAATCACAATGGGGCTGTTGGGTGTGCAGTGTGGTTATGAGAATGGCTGACATTTACCCACTAGATGCCAACACCTCTTCCCAGTCAGGGGCTCATGATCCCTAAAGGATCTTTAGATTTTACCAAATACCTTCCAGGGCAGAGTACTATGATAAAGTTGTAATGTGTATGTGTGTACCCTCCAGGCTCATTTATTTATTCCTTTCCTCTTCTTCTTCCTCTTCCTTCTTTCTTCTTTGATTGCACTGGGGATTAAATTTAGGGATTCTAATTTATAGTCAGGTACTCTACCACTTGTACCATTTAGGCCACTCCCCCAGCTCTTCATCTTGTTCCTATAAGGGTTTATGATCTCAGAACCATCTGAACCAATCGTTTAAAGCCTTTCAAATCAATCATGAAAGAACACACATATCTCCAGGTACAGCAAACACACATCTTCAGTTGCAGTGGTGGAAAACAACATACACCATCATGGCTAAATAAATGGTGTGATTTGAAAATTTGCTATGCAATACGTACCTACTACCCACTTACTTCTTGCAACTACTTTGGAAAGACAACATTGTTACAAAATCTGTACTTGGGAAAGTGTCTCCTTCAAAAAGTGCTATTCCCAGATGGCTCACTTCTTCAAATATGATCTTCACAGACTCCCACACTCGCCTCCACACTCCAGACTCCCACACTCTGACCTCCAAAGGAGTTAGTGCTAAATTAAGTTTTAAAAACAAAAACAAAAAACCCTCAAGTCCAGAAAAGAAATCAAAATTAGTTGTTCTCCAGAAAAGAAATTCAATGATGGCATAGAGTGAAAAACTGATTAGAACGGAGGATGGAGAGGAAGAGAGAAAGAAAGGAAAAGAAGAGGTGGGAAAAGGAAGCGGAAGTGACAGAGGGAGAGGAAAGGAAGGAAAAAAGAAAGAAGAGAAGAAAGAAGGGAGAGAGAATGGGGAGAAAGGAGGGAGGGAGAGGGGAAGGAACAAAAGAAAGGAGGGAAGGGGAGGAAGGAGAGAGGGATGGGGAGGGAGAGGAAGACAGGAAGGAAGGGGCGTGAAGGGAAAGAGACAAGAAGGAAGAGGGGGAAACAATAGGAAGGGGAAGGAAGAAAGGGAGAAGGGTGGAGACAGAGGGAAAGGGAACACAGAGGAGAGAGAGACAAAAAGAGGGGAGAGACAGGTATTGAGACAGACAGACAGAGACAGAGACAGGAGACAGAGAGAAGAGTAGGAGAAGAAGAAGGAAAGCCACCAGGAGAAACAGTGGAAGGTCTTGAAGGCTCCCAAACTCAGGGTGTATCTGGGGAGCGGGTGGCTTGGGGACGCGTCCTTGGCTTCTCCAGGCGGGTCTGGGGAGGCGGCTGCCCCCTGGAATTGCCCACCCCCATGTAGCGCCCGGCCTTCCTAGGGACCACCTTTCACGACCTCCCCGGTGCTGGGGAAAGGCCGCTCTTCAAGGCCCTTCTTCTCATCTAAGTCTCGGGAGGGCGCTGGGGCGCCCTGGGAGCTAACGATCCATCGACTTGTCCTAGAGAAGCAAACAGGACCGGGTCTGGTTTTCGTAGCTCCTGGGGTGGGGGGGGGGGCATCCCAGTAACTTTGGTCCCCTACTTTTTTCTTTTCTTTAGCCTTTCCCATTCTCCCCTTTTTGCCGGGGAGGGCGATGAGAAGGGGGAGACGGCGGGAGGAGGGGCACCCCAAAAGCTGCATCCCCAGAGAGACGGGTGGGCTTGGAGCCGCGTGGGCAGCGGGGCGCGCCGGTTCCTCCATCCCTCGGTCTAAGCGCCGGGTCCCGCGGGGGCGAGGGGAGGGGACAGCGGAGCGCGGAGGGCCGGGCCGCGGAGGAGGGGGGGGGGTAGGAGGCGGTGCGTGCCGCGCCTGCCCAAGGCGGAGAGCGGTTCCGCTGCGCGCAATCCCGGACTCCCCGCCGAGCCGCCGCCCCAGACCCGCGGCCCCGGGGGTGGGGGGAGTGGGAAGGGAAGAGCTCAGCGCTGCGATCCGGCTGACATCAGCCGATCCTCCGGCAAGACCCTGGGTCTCGGTGGCTTGGGGCTGGGAGGGACAGCGGCGGCGAAGAGCACGGTGGATGTGCGTGTCCGGGAAAGATCTCAAGTTGTGTGTGCGCCCCGGACCCGGGAGAAAAGGTGGCTGTCGTCCTCCTGCTCCCCGTCCCCTTCCCACTACCCTCAGCCATGTAAGTAGAGGGATCGGCTACCCAAGCGGGCGGGAACCCCACTTCTTCCCATCGGGTCGACTCCCATCCACCCTTCCCCCGGACACCCGGAGTTGAATGACTTCCCCGGCCGTGGCTGGGCTGTGGCTGAGTCGGCGGGGCGTCTGCCTCCGGGGGGTGCTGCTTTCCCAGGCTGATCGGCCGCTGGGATGTGTCTTTCCTCAACCGCCCCCCCCCGGGAGAGGTTGGGGGGGGGCAGGCAAAAGCAAGGGTTTTGTTTTCATTTTAAGTAATCCGAATTCTTTTTGAGTGAGATCCAGACCTGGGGAGGTGGTAGGGCGGCGTGTGGGAAGAAGATAGGTCAGGACGAAGGGGTTTGGAAGCTGGAGTTGGGACGGAGTTCTGGGGATGGAACGCTAGGACTCCCCCGGGCTTTCTGTTTCCATTTCTTGTTGGAACCTGCGGGGAACGGACCTCAGGGCTAGGTGTTGAAGCCACAATTGTGGCCATTAAATGTACCTGGAACCACTTAAGTGCACCGAGTTCGAGGCTGAGGAGCTGAAAAGTGTGGAGTACTTATCCGATTAGACAGTTGTGCAGCAGGCGAAAGGGTGGACGGTGTGAAATTTCCCAGAGCCAGTGAGTCAGGATAGCAGATGTGGGGATAAAGCACGCACAGGCTTTCTTTTACATGCGAAGATGGTTGTCAAGACTGAAGGAATGCTCCAAAGCTGTTGATGGAGTACTGGGAGCATCTGATAACGGTTCTGTCTGCTGGGTGTGCCTAGACAGTTCATAATGTTTCTTAAATTTATGGTACTTTGCAACTGTGAAAGATTATCCTAATTATTTTGTTTGAGGCTCATCTAGAGAGTTAAGGCACCCTTAAAGGGACACAAACACACACACACACACACACACACACACACACACACACACACAGTTGCTACAAACAATGAGGGTGAACTTGCCAGCCAAATAAAGCATGATATGGTTCGTTTTATTTTAATATCCCCGAATTACGTTAACTGCCAGTAAATATGCTACATTGCTTTTAATGTGAGTATGTGAGATGAATTCACTGGCTTGGCAAATAGAAGTCAAGCATTCCTTTAAGTAAATAGCTGCTAGAGTTAATTTAGGAGCGTTTATAGGTGATCAAGACACGTTGAGCAAGTTTGATAAAACTTGGAGTTATCAAAAAGTGTATAGAGAGAATCAGTTCTTTCTACTGTTTTAAAATTCACCATGACAGTTTGAATACAGTGCATCTTGATCAGTGTTACTCCCCTTCCATCCTTCTCCATCCATCCCTTTCCAAGTTGAAAATTTTAAATTCAATTTTTTATTGTCTTTAAGTAGTTGTACAAAGGAGATGCCATTTAACAAAGCAGTTTATGAATACGATGTGCAGTGGCACCCCTTACAATAGTCTCACCCTCCCCCCATCAGCACATACTTTTCATTACTTTTCTTAATTTTCTTGGCTATATTCTTCCCCCTTTGGCTCTTCATTCATCTGCCCCTCTCCCCTTGGCCCCTACCTCCTTTTGTAGTTACCCCTTTCCTGGTGCTTATTTTGTGGGGCTTTCATCTAGTCAAGTTTTTCTTACCTGAAAAACTGTAGAGTGACTAAGTGTTATTATTTCTCTAAGGGTCTAAACTTTTAATATTTCCTGTTGTTTTACCAGGGGTAATGATCCTTGCTACTCAGGATGGGAAGGTGATACCCAGTAGGACCAAAAGGATCCCTTTTGCTGACAGACACACCCTCGACCTGGTTCCAGGACTGTGGATTGCCTGTTGTGACTTCACACCTTCATTCCCACTTGTGGTCCCAGAACACTTCCTTTAGGCCCTTCTTGCCTTATCTGGTGGAAGATGGCATCCAGCCTGACGTGTACAGGTGTGATCTGGGCTTTGCTTTCCTTCCTCTGCGCTGCCACCTCTTGCGTGGGGTTCTTTATGCCTTACTGGCTCTGGGGATCACAGCTGGGCAAGTCTGTATCTTTTGGTACTTTCCGGAGGTGCTCCTATCCTGTGCATGACGAGAGTCGACAGATGATGGTGATGGTGGAGGAATGTGGGCGCTATGCCTCCTTCCAGGGTATTCCCAGCACAGAATGGAGGATCTGTACCATAGTGACGGGCCTAGGTTGCGGTCTGCTCCTCCTGGTGGCTCTCACTGCGCTCATGGGTTGCTGTGTGTCGGAGCTCATCTCCAGGACTGTGGGAAGAGTGGCTGGTGGAATTCAGTTTCTGGGAGGTAAGTGACTTGTTATACTTGAGTCGTTGATCGCAATCCCAAAGCTATATGGAAAATGACAAGTTTCATTTGTCTCCTGAGATGACTGACACTTATAGATATGAAATGCAGTAGATATGAAATGATTTTGGTGATAGGCCACTAACGTCAATGATTTTTATGGGCATGCTTAATAGCTATCAGCGTTCGTCATTCCTATTGTTAAACTTATGTCTCTGGCCTGCTAACTACTTGTGTGACACAGTAACAGTTAGCTTGGAATGTATCCAAAAGACACTTCTTGTTTGTTCTGTCCAACAATAGAATTATCTTTACTGGAATTTTGGGTCTTTGGAGGTAAAAGTTTCATAGGGAAGTACCTAATGATTTTGATTTGAAATTGTGTTACTAAGCTTTTTTTCATAAGCCTTTAATATTCCTTGATGGATATAAAATTGATCCTTACTCAATAGTAAATGGCATTTCTAAGTATTACTATTTTAAATGAGAGATCTGTTTTATATAATGTGATGGGCACTGGCTGTAATTCGAGCTCCTCAGAAGGCTGAGATCTGAGGATCACTGGTTTAAAAATAACTTCAGCAGACAATCTGAGAAACTTTGTCTTCAGTTAACCAGCGAAAAGCTAGAAAGTGAAGATGTGGTTCAAATGATAGAGTGCCAATTTTGACCAATATATATATGGCATAAATATAGCATATATAGTATATATACATACATATACACAAATACATACATATACATATATACACATATATATATTTTAGGCGTGTGTGTGTGTGTGTGTGTGTGTGTGTGTGTGTGTGTGTGTGTGTGCAAGGCCCTGAGTATAAGCCCCACTACAGGAACAAGCAAAACAAAATACGAATCCCAAATCCTATAAACTTCACTATGCTACAAAGACAACTGTAGGCTAATTATCATGTTAGGAGCTAACTTCCCTGGGTGCTTTTGCTTTAAGGCTAAGAAAAGAACACTGTATTTTAGGAAAGAAGTATGCTTGTCCCAAATGGACTGGATAGTTTCACTCACACCAGAAAAGGTTTGATTTTTACTTGGCTTCCCTCCAGCAAGTATTGCCTCAATATCTCTGGTCATATGGTTTTAATTGCATCTCATGTGTTTCCCACTGTTCATTTCACCTCCATCCTTCAACCTGGCTGGCTGAATTGGTCTGATTTACAATCTGCCCCAGTGAAATATGACAACCTGTGGAGATAGCACAGAGTGATGGGAAATAGGAAGCCTGGAAAACTTTAAAAAAAAATGGGTTAGTACCTCATGACAAAGTACATGTCTCCCATTTGGTGTTTCCTTACAGACTTTTGTGAAGCATTCAGAAGACAAACCATTAAAAAAGGAATAGTTCTGGGATTAACTGCCAACTGTTAGGGAGATCCAATGGATTACTTTAGGTTATTTAATATAAAAGTTTCAAGCAACATTTTAAGTGAAGTGTGCTAAAGAGTCAAATGAAAATCTGTTCGCTCTTTGGAAACAAGAGGTAGATTTGTCTGCAGTTCTGTGTTTCCTTATCTTTTTTTTTTTTTTTTTTTGGTGGGTTGTGGGCATGAACTCTGGGCCTAGGCACTGTCCCTCAGCTCTTCAGCTCAAGGCTAGCACTCTACCATTTGAGCCACAGCGCCACTTCCAGGTTTTTCTGCTCATGTGGTGCTGAGGAATCAAACCCAGGGCTTCATGCATGCAGGGCAAGCACTCTACCACTGAGCCACCTTCCCAGCTCAGTGTTTCCTTATCTTAAGTGAACTATTCTACACTGGCTTCTTTTCACAGTGGTTTTTGCACATTAGCCTGCTCTGGGAGATGCTTTTGGAAGAGAGTTGGCTGGAAGTCCTGCCCTTCTTGCTTCAGTATTGGCCACTGACAAAAGTCTTTCCTGTAATATATTCACTCAGATATACAGAGAAATTATTATTTATTACAACATAAAGAGGTTGTCATTGAAAATGAAAATAGAAATTCAGGATTTTGAAAGTTTATTGGCCCAGCAGATTTTTTTTTTTTGGGGGGGGGGTGGGTAGAACTACTGGAACTAGTGCCAGGAGTATTTAACTTTTTGTGTTTTTTTAAAGAATACACTGGGTTTGCTTTTGTTTTACTTGGCTCAGGAAAAATGCTTAGGCAGTTTCATTTTCTCCTCTTATGGAAAATATTACTTTCCATTTTTTTCTTCATTTTGGGGCAGAGACTGCTATTATTTCTGGCAGCATAGAAAAATGCTTACAAGGAGGAATCAGGTTTTATTGATTATCTTGAGACATATAATGAAGGAAGGCAACAGGAAGTGCATCTGAGACCCAGGAGATTTATACTTTCCTCTTGAAGCTATGTATAGATTTTTTTTTGAATTATATAGAGCTAAATGTTCTACTTTACAGAATCCCCAAGGGAGAGACAATTGGGAAAGTTATATATATATATATATATATATATATATATATATATGTCTCCATACCTTTTCTCTATGTATGCTTTTCATGAAGTCTGGCTTCGAAAGAGTTGCTGATATAATTTGTTCCTAAGAGTTGATATTCTCTTCCCTCCCCCAAAATGTTTATCTATCAGGCAAAAATAATTCTAGATTATTAAACCTTGGGAGATTTTCTTTTATGCCAGTCTCTCAAGAGCATCAGCAAATAAATATGCCTATGAACCTAAGATATTATTACATTTAAGTTTAAAAATTAACTTGTCATATGGAAAATGTTTTTGAAAAGTTGCCACTTATTACTCTCAGTATATAACTGGCCAGATGACCAAACAAAGCCCTTCCAGAAGGCCTTCTCCTGTTCTTTGTGGCATAATTGTGGCAAATAGTTCGGTGTTTACTAAAAGTTGGTTATTAAATGGGTGGATTTTACAAAGACTGTGAAATGTCAAACCAGTGAGTTCTGTGAATCTCCTAGACAAGTGCTTCAGAAAAGTGGTCTGCATACAGGGTAGTGTGCCAGGGGGCAGAATCCCTCACTAAAAGTGATTCTCTCAGAAGGATTATGTTTAGCTTAAGTGAGGGTTGTTCCAAAAACAACAGGAAGCAGAAGTATGGCAAGACACAACGCCATCTTGCTCAGCACTGCCTGCTCTATCTGGAGTTTGCACATATGGTGTAGCATCAGGCAGGGAAACCCCTGCAGCACTTTGGAACAAGTTAAGGGACAAAGTGTCAATGTGGATTTTCAATCTTCTTGCTATGGTTGGGTAGAGGTCAAAATGACACCTGCCTACTGATAGAAAACGTAAAAGGAGACAGGGACATTGCTTCTTACTGTAGAGTTATCTTAAGGCATCAACAACTTCTACCTTTCCTGGGGTGACTGGTACATGAATTTTAATGCTGCCACCTTTGTCTCATACTACCATTTGAGCCACTGGCTCCACTTCCAGCCAGTCTGTCTGGTTTTGAACCATGACCCTCAGATCTCAACCTCCTGAATAGCTAGGATTACAGCTATGAGCCACCAGTGTCTAGTCTTAATTGAGTATTTTTTAAAAAAAGGAATACAGAAAGTCATTGGGAAATAAAATGTGTAATAAAAATATTAATCTGTATGCCTGGGAAGTATGTTCTGAAAAAATAGAGATTGAAAAGTTTTTTTGAAATATAAAAGTAGGTGTTTTCAAATGCTATTGTAGTAATTATGAAGTTTAACAGAATATTTGCTAGTGTGTATGCTTTTTGGGGGGAGGTACCATTACTTCAACTTGAACTCAAGGTCTTACGCTCTCATTTGGTATTTTCACTTAAGGCTGGTGCTCTACTACCTGGGTCATGCCTCTACCTCTAGCTTTTGTTTATTTTTTATTTTCACTTTTTTTCAGTTTGGGGGATTGAACGAGACTTCACACACAAACACTAGCCAAATATTTTTCTATGGAGCTACCTGGCTCCTGACAACAGAAGTTTACACAGTTAAGAGAAACCCTTTTGGTCTGTGTATTAATAAGATGCTGTCCTTACACACACACACTATGAATGGAAGAAGTAAGTACATTGTAGGTATATGAAATTGTAAATTCTGTCTATTCTATGCTTGTAAATGTCAGCATTTGAATTTGTGGATTTCCCCTTAAGAGATTGCTAGTCCTATAATGAAGGAGTACCAGAGACACCCTCAAATTTATATTACTCTGTGTTCAGTTTGAATGTGAGACATGTGTGCATTATATGTGTGTGGATTGCTAGCCAGCAGCAAACTCTCTCTGTCCTATTCATACTTTTCGGTTCTAAGAAGTCAGAGGACATCTCTGCCTTGGCAAAGGGAAGGATTAGTTCTGCTCAAGTACTGATGGTGGCTATGTCTCTGTGTGCCTGACGCATCATTGCTTCTCTCAAGTTGCCTCACTACAGTGTCTAATCTGGGCATATTTCTCATCGTGTTGGGATGAGGGCAGTTGCCTGGATTCTCCCTCCCTTGCTCTACTTTAAGCCTGACCTGTCATACCAAGCCAGGGTGCGCTTTCCATTACACATGACATCAGGCTGTCTGTGAAGTGACAGCAAAATAATGAGATGAATAATAAGTGTCGAAATATTAATGGCATGGTGTTTTCTTAGTGACAGGGTCTTAAGAAGGTCTGGAACTCTTTGGGCCAGTTGCAGAAGCAGGTATGAGTCTATTTGCTGCGTCTACCGCTCCTTTTCTCCCTCCCTTCCCCTTCTCCTCCTCCTCCTATCTTAAGGCCTCAACAACTTCTACCTTTCTTGGGTGATGAGTACATGAACTTTAATGCTGCCTCCTCTGTCCCATATGCTCCTTCTTCTGCTGCTCCTCCTCCTCTTTTTTTCCCCACCACCTCCTCCTCTTCCTACTTCTTCTCCTCCTCTACCTTCTCTTCCTCTCTCCAGTTCTTTCCCACTCTCTCCTCCTCCCTCAACTCATGCCTAGATTGAAATCTGACTCTTTTGTACCTCTTATTGTACCTGGATGATAGTCATGTATCACCAGGCCCAGAATTCTTTCTCTGAGTTGGGATCTCAT